CATGTCCATGAGCGGGAACAGAGCCTCCTCGTCGCGGTTCCAGGACGACGACGACGCCGAGGCTGCAGAGTAGGACGTGGTCGGCGTCGAGACGGCAGCAGCAGCGGCGGCGGGTGAGGAAGTCGTCGTCGACGTCAGCAATGGCGGCGTCTGCTGGTCGCCCATCAGTGGCACCATGATCTCGTCCGGGTGCATCATGGGTACCTCGTCGGTGCAGAAGCCCGGAGAGTTGCTGAGGAGATCGTCGCCTGCTAGTTCTTTCTGGCTAGCTGTCGTCGCCGCGGGCGGTGGCGTCACCGGTGCTGCGGCTGTCTTCTCCTGATCTGGAGGCTTCCGCAACGGAGATGGCGATGGCGATGGCTGCGCCACCTGCGCTTCCGGCGAGCCAGTACCGGTGGCGGCGGTGGGTGGTGGGCTCTGCAGCTGCTGCGGATCAGGGGACGACGACGGGCAGAGGGGCTTGTGGGTGAGCGGGTCGATCCCCATCTTCTTGAGCTTCTTCTTGATGTGGGTGTTCCAGTGGTTCTTGATCTCGTTGTCCGTTCGCCCGGGCAAGTGCGACGCAATCTTGGACCACCTAATAACATTTTTTTTGGTTTATTTATAAGAAGAAGAAACTAAGTTTATTTTCATTTTCATTTTTAGCTTGTAGGAGAAAAAGGAAAGAAGTATATCTCGGTATGTATATGGCGCACCTGTTGCCGAGCTGAGCATGCAGATCGATGACGAGCTTCTCCTCGGCGTCGGAGAGCAGGCCCCTCTTGAGGTCTGGCCGCAGGTAGTTGGTCCACCGCAGCCGGCAGCTCTTCCCGCACCGCAGCAGCCCTGCATGCAGTTTGGCACGCAACAAATTTGATTCTCTCTCATCGTCACAAAAACTAAACTGCGAAGCATGCATGCTGTAGGGAGTCCTTTATTTGAACGATCGATCGATCTGTAGGGACAGGGACAGGGAGCGATCAATCGAGCAAGAGCATGCAGTTGCACGCACCGGCGAGCTTGGGCACGGCGCGCCAGCAGCACTGGCCGTTGCCGAGGATGAAGCTGACGAGCTTCTGGTCCTCCTCCGCCGTCCACGGCCCCTTCTTCAGCCCCACCTTGTCGCAGCACGGCTGCCGACCCATGGTAGAGTAGAGGCGAGCGATGGACCAGGACGTACGATATGTAATAACGATGTGGACGACGGGGTAATGGCGGCACGAGCCCTGTCGGATGATCGCGAGCGAGCTGCGATGTGTGTAGACGACGGACGGGGTGCAGTGCCCACTGCCCACCTGCCTTTATAAGGCTCCTGCAGCTGGGAGCCGGGGCAGAAGATGAGAGGAGCTAACCGTACCGCATGCGTGATCGATCACAAAGCAAAGGGACGTCGACGTCGTCGTCGTCGTCGTGCTGCTGCTAGCTACCTGCTTGCGTGCGTGTGACGTCGAATCCATGAGCCAGCCAGCCTTCCCCCGCCCGCTACCCGGCCGTGCATACATAGGAGGACGGCCGTCGTACGTGAAGCTGAGCGGCGGGCCCGGGCGGCCGTCGGCAGCGTTGGTTGAGCCTACCACGTGGCGCCCTGAGGCGGGCCCGCGTGCCTGAGCTTCTGCTCATGGGTCCCTTTTGCTTGCGATGCAATTGCAAGTGCTGCACTGCAAAGCCTCCGATCCGTCTGCTGTGCACTGTGCTCAATGCCTTCCTTTCTTTTTCCTTTTCCTTTCGTGCTTGCTTGACCTCAGAATTATCTTGGGTTGGGTTAAATCTTGCACGGGTCTTGTTCTTCTCCTTGTCTGATTCTGTTTTATTTACGCGGCTGTGGTTAACTTAGCTAGCCCCTACAGAATTGTCCAACCGATCCACCATCATCTCTAGCTAAGTAGCTATCCTCTAGGCGTTCAGTTCAGAAATGATGCCGCGTAGTACGTGATTTTTTCTTTCTTTCCCAGTGATTTGCCATCTAGAAATGCTATGATGAAACTGCGATGAAATGTTAGTCAAGGCATTCTGGAGCCTTGCAGCCGCTGTCTGCTGCTGGCCGGACTAGTGGACTTGGGCGGCGGCGGGCATGGCTCACGGCTGGCTGGCTTGTCGGCCGCCGCCACGCTGGAATGTTTGAACGCTGGCCACCACGGATGCATACGTACAAATGCGGTTGACATTTCACTCTTCTCTTGTCAGTACGTGTAAGCAGCTTCCGTGACATCACAGTTCACAGAGCGAGGCTGCGAGGATGGGGATGGTCGCCGGCTTACGCCAGGGAACCGGCCATGCATTCATGTTGACTAATTTGTTCTAATGTTCTTCGAAATGTTGAAGTGTGTAAAGGTAGATTAGTAAGAAATGGCAGCAAGCTAACGACAGGGATCGGTAAGAATTGAGTGGTAAAGAAGACAAAACCAGCAGTTTGCTCAATCGGACAGTTAGAAACAGCCTGGTGGGGTTTGTTTGTTTTAGTTGACCGTGGATTAATATTTAGCTGATTCACCAACCAACAGTTACAGTCAGGCATGCATATTTCCCCTTTCTTTCAGATTGGGCACGCAGTAAGAACACACGCTGAAACTGTACTACGTTTCTTTTACTTGACACGTACGTCGTCGATTTAACCGATTCACCAACCGACAGTTCCGTACAGTACAGTCGAGATTTCAACTCCAAGAACAGGTTGAACGAATGAATGAGCGGCTGCTTATTTTCCTCCTTCCCTCGTTATTAATCATGTTCAGATGAACGAAGATCAATTCGTGCTAATTTTTGGACTTGCAAGTCAAATTAGTGTACAGTGGTCCACTTAATTTACCACCTCCTCCTTATTGAATAGAAATAAATAAATAAATAAAAATTGCTGAAGACATCATCTGGTCAGTCAAAATAATCATGTCTTAGCCATCACTCATTCAGTCTAGCTACCAGCATGATTAGCCACTCTTTTTTACAGAAAACTAATCAAATCATCTGAGACTTGACCCAATCCATGCCGTCGTGCACCGTGTTTCGGTGTCGCTGCGAGGCCCAATCCTCGACTGAACCAGAATCAAAAGCTCCCGAAATTAAACCAACGTTGATCGTCACGCTTTTCTCTACTGTCATCCACGTACTATAACCTTCATCAAATCATTCCTCAATCAATTTCGATGTCACGACTCACGAGCCTTTTGACATGGGATGTGAAAGCATCAGGGCCCTGGATTAGGAGTGGCCAGGTGGCAGGCGCTTTGCACTTGCACACAAAGGAAGCGATCAGATCGCCACACCCACACATGACATGATGATGGCGAGATGATGGTTGGGGTGGGGTGGCCCAAAGATTGTGTTCTCCCAACCAACATGACCATACAACGGACACGGCGGAGAGGTCAGAGATCTTGCATTGCATCCGGCTCGCCATCGCAAAAAGGCTCTCTTTTTGCCTCGGCCGGCTCCCTGCGGATGCATCCAGTCGCGCCGGACGCGTGTGATCGGGGAGGGCGTTAGTGCTCATGTAAATGTCATGCATGGATTCGTGGCCTCTTGTTCTTCAGTGCCTGTGCCTCACGACGGCCGGCCACCGACCGACTATAGGAGGAAATGGAAAGCGTTTCGTTTCTAGCTGACGGACGGTGCTGCGTTTCTGTTGGTGGTGTGTCAGCGAGCGAGCCAAGAGGTGCCCTTCACTCCAGCTCATGGTCATGGCAACGATCAGGGGGCTGGATTGGATGGAACAGCCCAGCAGGCTGCCTTGCCTTAGAACTCACTAGTGACTACGTAGTAAAACCATGTGTCAGCGTTTTTGGCGGATGAATCCGATGCTGCCACCTGTGCGGTCGGCGGCCAGTTTTTTGTTCTTTATATTTTCTCCGAGTGGTTTCAGTCAGTAATTGGCATCGAAATTTTACACCCAGGAGATCAGGGAGGGAAAAATTTTTCTCAGTTTCACACCCACACAGGGCTCATGATCCTACCTTCATTCAGACGGGGTCTGAACATTGAGGACGCTAAAGCTTATGGTCTCTCCATCAGTAAAAGTTATATTCCGGAATCGGTTTCACCGCGTTAATCAGAGGTTTCCCTCGTGAAATTGACGTGTGGAACCTTAGCGAGCAATGGGAAATCAAGAGCTCACAAGGTAACATTTGCATTGTTTCTTCCTTTCCTCACTTCAGTTGCCTTGCTCACATGGAGAACGATGGTGTATACATGACAGTAAAAAGGTAACTGATTGTATCCTGCGATCACCAAGCAAACGGGAAAAAAAACTAGTCCAGGTTGTACTGTACAATTCTGCCATCAATCAGCGTCAAGATAAATATGAGAGCAGAGTATGACCAGATGGAATCTGAATACAAAAGTTTCAAATGACTGCAAATCGCATTCATTTTTTTTTTATTTTGGATACCTGCCAGTGATATATCATCTTCATCCAGATTTTTTTTGAAAATAATCTTCATCCAGATTTTGGACAGATATAACAAAAGTTTCAAATAGTTCCATTTTTTTTTATTTTGGCAGTGATATATCATCTTCATCCAGATTTTTTTTGAAAATAATCTTCATCCAGATTTTGGACAGATATAACCAAATAGTTCCATGGCATAGCATTTCTCTTATGGGAGTTATGAACTAGACAGAAGAACAGATACAGAGGTTGAAAACATTTGCACTGACAGCCGTTAGAGGTAAAAAGAATTTTTGCCAGTGTACATTACTAGATGCAAGTTGCAATGGGCACACATTACTCTTAAACATTGGACAAAGTGGCCAAAATAATACAGGTAAACAAAGTTGAATTATGGCAGCCCTTCAACTGTCCCCCCTTGATGAGAGCCCTTCATTCAGACAAGTTGGATGCGCAAGACCTTGAGGTCTGCACCCACTTTGTTTGACGAAAGCAATAGACAATTATGCTTCTGTTAGTCCATCAGGTCTCATAAGCTCCACACGTGATGATTAAGTCAATAAGAAAGGCTGTTACAGGGGAGTCAGTCACCTGTTAAAAGTCCCAATTATTTGGTTACCGTGACAGAGCAACATCTCTTCTAGTAACCTTCTCCCAGACTTTTGAGTGAGGTAGCAAACGCTGTACACTCCTGACAGGTGAACTCGCCAGACGCTGATAGATTCTCTTTTAAATTTGAATGCCTCTCGCAGTAGGGACGGTTGCATGTGCAGCATTTTGGGAGCTTGAGCCAGCAATCCATGCACAGAAAGTCAGAGCAGGCTAGTCCAGACTCACCGAGCTCCTCCAGGTCGATGCACCCACCACAAGTTTCACATCTAGCAACACAAAAGAAGCAAGCTCGGCATTGGGACCGACCATCCTTCACTTCCCTGAAGTATAATCAAAATCGTCAGAATGGAAGATACACAGAACCATTTTTTTTTTTCAAAATGAAAATTGGTATAGGTCATAGGTCAAAGTCAATAGACCTACAGAAAAGACTTGAAAAATCAGAACCAACTGTTCCAAAGACGAGCAACAAACCAAAAACTAAATGTCAAGCTGCTTTCATGTAGCCCATAGGGGTGGGGGGAAAATGAGCTACGGGACCATTGCCAAAAGAAACACCAAGTCAGCTATACCACCACCACAGGAGATCTGATGCAAGCAAATATCTATAGGTGAGACTAGTGACTTCCAGAAATCATCGATGGAGCCACGCACAAAGTAGAGAAAAGGTATAGCAATGCCAGCTCTACCAATAAACTGCAAGGGGAATTTCTAATGACAAGGCTGAATGGGAACTCAAAAGATTGAAGATTCAGAGGTACAGACCTGCAGTTCTTCCTTGTACAATCAAACACGAGTCTCACATTTCTGCACAAAGGGCACACATCTACATCAATAGGGCGACCGTCGTCCGTGTTCAGCACTTCATGGACTCTATGGTTGTAGTAAAGTGCTTGAGCATCTTGCTGTTGGCTACCTCTGCACACGAGAGACTTGATAACATCGAGATGGTGGTTAGTCATCTTGCAGATACCATGTAGTCGAACACGACTTAGATTTCCTTTGTGCCCATGCAAAAAATGAATAATTTTCACCAGACCATCAGCTGTTAATCCTGTGCATCTGGGCACAAAGAGCTGCAAGTAAAAGATAAACCCTTAGAACTAGATGCACATAGAGGCCAGTGCATTAGTACATAGCAGAAAGTGACAGAATGAGCATGTCAGTATGAGTTCTCAGTGAATGTTATATTCTGCAATAGTTGCAGAATTTTTGCCATCCACATGATCTAAATTCTGATCCAGAAGTAATTAAATAGCAATCAGACAAACACATTTGTAATCTGCAGTACAAAACATAAACGCTGGACAAAATCTATCATGCAAATAAAACAAGATCGATAAGGCATAGTTTGAGGTGACAACAGTGTGAAACATTGGTCAAAATGACTCAACAGTTATTAACAAACAGCTGTTCTATTTTTTTGAACGTAGAAACAGCTGTTCTAAGCATCTCTCTTTTTTCATTGGGCTTGAACCTCCAAGATCACTCCAACAATTCAAATGGAGCAACTTAATAAGTCTTCAATACCCTTTTACAAAATTAGGAACTGTAAAGTTTGTAAGGGATCTAGGAACTGTAAACTTTGTCATAAACTGGAATCGCGTGACCACTTGTTCTTCAAATGCCCCATAGCTCAGGTGACCTGGACTTGGATCAGAATCAGCATGGGATGGAGAGAGAACCCAGTGTCGTTGAGATCTTTTGAGATGTTGGGGTCAGAAAGAGGAAGTCAGAACTGGTGGAAGCTAATAGTCTTAGCAAGTGTTACTAGGGGTGTGTGGAAAACAAGAAATGTCTAGGTCTTAACCCCTAAACAATTAGCTTACAAAATTCTCAGTTTTCTGAACCAGCGGAGGTCGATGGCGAGGAAGGAAACACCAAGGCTGGAGACCCTTATCGGGAGACGAGGAATTAGCAAAATGGTGACAACTGAAGCTCTGCATGTAATAGGATAGCCCGGATGGGTTTCTGTTTCATCAGATTCTATTTCTGTAATAGGACAGCTTTTGGTTGGCGAGTGTGTTTCTAGGGGATTGTTGGACTGAACTTTGTAGCTGGTTACACAGTGGACTGAACTTTGTAGCTGGTTACACCAGCAAACTTTTTAAGCTTTCAATATAAGCAGGGCCGAACCTTTGGTCAAAAAAGGGAGCAGCAATCACTGTTCCAGGTTTTTAGTATGAAATCGGTCATTATTAATGAACCATTACTGGTTTGCATCTAGTAAAGTACAATGTAGCGTATATGGATTCATACATCGGCAGCATTCATCCACAAATGGCAATAATAGCTCATGGTCGCAAAAATGGCAGTGTTTTAAGTGCTCCAGCTTTTTGTTCCCCCTTTCTTATTTGGAAAGGCATGTTACCACTTTTCATGTCCAATAATAAATCAACACTTCCAGTGCAATGTGCTGTGCAGGGTTTAATGAGACAAGGCAAAACTATCAGAGATCCAGTCTAGCAGGCGACAAAAAGATTGTTGGTTCTGTAATGCAGATAACCACCTCAGCTAGCCAAGCAGAAACAAAAAATAAGGCAAACAAAAATAAGAGGATCCTAATCCACAAGAAAGTGAACAAAATCCAGCACATTTTTTGTAATTTTTAACATTTTAAACAAAAAAATTAACAGACCTAAATTTGTACTACTTGTTTACTGGCTTTGCCATGCTTCAAGAAAAATTACTCCACGACAGCATGTAATCTGTGCATTAAACTTATATATTTAAAGATACTAAGCCAGGAATCAATCGATCATTAAGATCATGTTGAACTCAAGTTCAATCAGTAAGAACACTGAATAAATTACTGTGGACAATGGCTATGGTCTCACTGGATGAGGATAACAAGTGCCATGGGCAGTTTAGAAGCCAGCCAGTCAGGGGCTTGAACAACGGGATCAGTGGTGTTATGATATAGAGAGAATGTCTTACTCTAAGAAATACGTCTGAAGATCAAGAGTTACCTGTGAAGAATTTTTAGAATAATATTCAATCTGCCTCACATTGAAGCACAGGAAATGGAAGAAAAGTCTGTGAGTCATGTGATGACAAGACAATGTACCATAACTTATATCAGTGTGTATTACAGAATATCTGGAATTGTGTCTGCTATTTTAGAAGGATTTCGGCAGGTCTCAGCCAAATTCCATGTCAAATTATGAGCAAGATTGGTTTCCTCTAGAATGGTCCTTTTACGGTTAGTGGTTACTGAACTGCTATATCATGAATGATATCGCAGCTACCCAATAAGATGATACCAGGGAAACAAATTCTTCATATATGCCTTCTTAAGTGCTGATGCCTTGAAAATCCATCTAATTATTGCATCTAACTTCTGAACAGGCCAAATTCTGGCTGCTTATGGAGTGGATTTTGATTATGGTTCTAGTTTTTTTTAATTGAACATGCAGGAGAGCTGCATATATTTATATTACGAAGAAAAAGGGGCAAGAACCCTTACAACACACATGCACACATTCATATTTCTAAGCATACATTCGCACCCTTTGTATATAGCAAAACAACAGCCTCGACCAAAGAACTAGAACACCTACTGGTCGCTCACAGGCTCAAGGGCGAGAAGGAAATGCCCTGAGCACCAGCCAAACTCCAAAAGAAAATCACCTCAGAGGCGAGCAACAAGACTCCAACCAAGTTGGGAGAAATTCCATCAAACATGGACAGGTTACGATGATTCCAAATCATCCAGGCCCCAAGAATTATAATCGATTTCAACCCTTTCCTCACCATGCCAATCACCCTCGACTGCACTTTAACCTACCAATCACCCTCAATTCTGGTTCTAGTTCTTCCGTCAACTGCACTAGAATGAGGAATCCTAGTAATGTATTAGATATATGGCCTGTAGCTTCAGCTACTTTGGACTTTACTCTGCACTGGTGTCCCCCAACTTTTAATACACTCAAACTGAACAGTGAGCTCGTGTCTAAATCAACACAAAATGTGCCAGAAAAAAAAATGACAGGTACAATGATTTTAAGTAATAAATATCCCTGTCTAAAATCTTTTTTCTCAAAACCTTAAATATAGAATAATGGGAAAACCCTGTCTAAAATCCTTTTTCTCAAAACCTTAAATATAGAATAATGTGACGTGCCAGAACCGTGACTAGGGGCTCATGTTGGGTTTCAACTCTAGCCTACCCCAAGGGACAAAGGCTTTGTTGTTGTTGTTGTTGTTGTTGATGTAATGGGAAAGCGAGAAAAGGTATCCATGTGAACTAACAAAAGTAAGGCATGCAAAGACTATTCCAGAAAAAATAAATGCCTTTGTACCAAATACTTTAGTTATAAAAGCACATAACCGATCGAATATGATCACTGCCCTGATCAAATGCACATGCAAATGCAACACTGATTAAGAATGCTCCTAAAAATGAGGTCTATCTACTCTAGTTACATCACCAAATCACACAAAATTGTTACATCCCTGAGGGGGGAAAGCAGCTATTATTATGATCAAATACCCCTTCCCAAGATATAGACCATTCTTCCTCACACTCACAAAAGATATACTTTGTAGTTCGTAGAAATGATGTTACATTAATGGAGAACATGAATATGAGAGCTTTTCATCTGCCAATTTCTGTAGCAAATGATTTTATGGCACAACCACCATTAAGCTAGTAAATGTTCATAAGGAAATTGCCTCAAAAAAGTTCCTAAGGTACAAAGAAGACTATCTACACCTTCATCCAGGTGCATTTGATCAGATGTTTTTCCTAGGTAAGCCTTTTTGCAGGCAGCAGCCTTTGGCGTTGACAGTTTTTTTTTTTTTTTTTTGGGAGGCGTTGACAATTATTCAAGAGATCTAACTCCATTGGTGAAATAAGAGTTCGCAGAATATAAATGTTCACCTGCTGGTCATACACTAAACCTCTAATGCAACAGAACCCTTAAATAGTGATTAGTTCTGGATTAAGGCAAATCCGATGAAAAGATAGAGAAACCTTAAGATCCTTTGTTTACTCAATTGTTATCCTTCACAAGAGAAGTACTATAACGTGCCTTTTTTTAACCATAGTATAACCAATAATTGATTCTAATAAATGCAATTAGTGATGAAACATTCTCAAGAGATATGCAGATAATCACAATATGCTATACACCTAAATGAAGTCTCTAGAAACCATGATCAGCGCTGCTGCGGCCCTTTTCAGTAGTGAAAGATAGTATGCTGGTTGGACCATTCCATTTTTTTCCTCGACCTATGCAGGAGAACTGCATGTCATTTCATTAAGAAGAAGAGAGAAATACAAAAGAAAGAGGCAAAGTGCCTTTTCCAGACCCAAAAAAAACGCATACACACAAAAGTGCACCACACAAAACAATAAACGACCACCAACAGACCCTCAACTAAAAAAGAGGTTTAGATGACCAGGGCGAGCAGCCTCAAGTCTTTGCTGAAGGACAAGATTAAGAAGCTAGCTAGCTCATGTGAACTGAGAAATAGCTCGGTTGGTAGAGCCTCCAGGCTCCAGCTGAGAGGCTGCCAATGTGGGATCAAACCAGGGTGCTCATAGATCATGGGAGTACCTTGCTAAAGGGTGTACTCTCCTCTCTTAAGACAAAGCCAAGGGGACATCAAGGAACTCTGCAACTAGGATACAAGTTAATGTCATGAACTCACTGAACACAGTCAAGGCACCAAGAAACCAACATCCTATTACTTGTACTTTATGTAACGTCCCCCACCCCCAAAATCAAACTTAAGCAGATTTCAAGGTTGCATTAACTAATCTCCTTCTAGCAACCAAAGTTTTGGTAAGACAACATAAAAATTATATATTTGCACCAGCAAAATCCTTATATACTTACGTCCATCCAAAGAAGGGCTCATACCTACTTCTCTAGTCTTCAGAACAAATGTTACCTCATACAGCAATGGCTAGAATAGTACAGTTACATACTTCTTTCCACGTATGCTGTCCATTGTGAGCATAGCACAGCATACCTAAGCTTAAACATTCTCGTTTGTTTTCATATATGTATCTATTATTATACAAACAATACTATTAATTTCCTATCTTAATTGTCCCTCTAATACTGGAGTAAGTAAATCAGTCAATTCTGCTCTCATATTTTATTGCGCACTAATTCATGAGCTCATGGCGTCAAGTTTATAATTTTTATTCATAATTATGCATTGCTGTCTCATTTAGATGATAGTTGTCCATCAACCATGTGTTCAACAGGGAGTTAGGTGCCACTTTAACTTGGTTGGATATATACCTGCCCTTTGTTTTTAGATTCTTAATACTATTACACTTGCCGCAGTTCTTTTCTTGTATTTGTGTATCAAGGCGACAAGGCATGTCTTTCTTTTTACCTACTTGTTTATTGTGACCGAGGAGAGCTGTGTATCATTATATTATAAAAGAAAAAAGAGGGGGGAACCCCAAGCACACTGGTTTAAAAGGTTACAGACTCGCCAGTGCTAAAAGAAAAAACGACCTTAACCACAAACTCTACTGAGACTCAACATGGGCTAGGGCAGACAAGCAGGACATCCCTCAAGCCCCAGCCAACATCCACAGATGAAGCTCTTCTGTAGCGAGCATCCAGGACGCCCCTAGATTAGGTGCCATGCTATCAAAGACACATTGATTCCGATGCTTCCAAAGACTCCATGCTCCGAGGATGATCAGGTAGTTTAAACCTTTCTGCACCTGTCCATCAACTAAATTATTCACTTTGCTCCACCAGTCATCAAAGCATCCTTCATCAGCTGAAGGGGAAAGTTCTTGGAGTCCAAACCGTCTAAGCAGGCAAAACCAAAACTGCCTTGCAAACACACAAGTAACTAACAGGTGGTCAATTGTCTCTTCATCTTGATCACAGTGAGGACAAAGAGTTGGGTGGGGCAAGTTTCTTCGGGCAAGCCGATCTGCATCTGGGTCTTATCATAAATTTTAGGACAGGCTCTCTAACTGTCAGGAACAACCCAAATGCAATAAAACTACAAAAGGACACCTTAAATTGAAGGGTAAAACTTGTCATATCCCCATTGCCCTCTTTAAGTTATATAATAACATGAGCCCATCTAGACAAATGGAATTGAACCTTGCGTTGACAGTTCCTTTTTTATTATCTATATTCATCTTGTTTGTTTAGAACAACTGAACGAGTTCATTAATTACGGTACTGTCTGAAAAAATGAGAAATATAACTAATCTATATGGGAAACTGAGGAATAAGATAATCGAAATCATGGAATGTCTACTGAATTAACAACATATTGTGTTACATCCATTACACAAGTACTCCTAATCCTAAACGGCCTCCGTGAAGAGGCGTAATAGCAAACACTAACCAGTCCGCAAACTATATGTCAATTTCGTGCACAAGTTGAGCATCACAGTACCTCGGTGACGTCGGGGTTGCGCTCGACGATGCGCAGCAGGCCGGCGTCGGATACGCGGGGGCACCCGAGGAGGTGGAGTGACCGGAGCCTCCCCTGCGCCCTGTCCGTCAACGCGAGGAGCGCCTCGTCCGTGATCCGGTGGCTGAGCGGCGGCTCCACGACGAGGCGCAGCCAGAGGAGCGGGTCCCCCGCGACGGCCTCGCGGAGGCCGCGGCACGCGCGCGCGCAGGCCAGCAGCTCCCGCAGCCGCATGTAGCCCAGAGTCAGGAGGAGCGCGGCGTGCGGCTCGCCCGGGGAGGAGGCGGGGCCGGCCGCGGGCGGCGGCGGTGGCGCGGAGGCCGCCGTGGCGGTTGTCGGCAGCATTTGAGTGATCGGTGCGGGTTGCCTTGAGGAGGGAGGTGGAACTGGAAATGACAGCGGCACGAATCCAAACCGAGACGCCGGCCTGCTGCTCTGGATTTTTTTTTTGTACGGTGCCGTCAGTCCGTGCCAGCCTTTTTTTTTTTTGGCCTCAGTCCGTGACAGCCTTGTTTTGTTTCAGGTTTGTCACCGTTGGATGTATGTACACCTACAACATGTCTAGGTGCCCAGGTTTGTTCACCTACATGTCTAGATGACCAGTCGTTTAAAACTTCCGTGGGAATAAAAAACATTAGAAAATATCTCTAGATGTTATAAGCTCTTGGACTGTTTGTTAGAGGCATAGTACTGTCCTAGACAGCTCGTTATCGGGTCTTACTATCTTTCCATTCACTCTTATCCTGCATAACACTGACCATATTCTTTGCTAGACAATTTTCTATATCATATTTTTAATTATTCATATGTTAGATCATGTCTAAATCAGTTAGCGATTTTGTGGATGCCTTGAGTTGCCCGCTATACTAAATGTCGAAAGTGCAGCGGTGTTATAAAAACAAAAAACTTTTAACACTACTTGTTTCGTATCGTAGCATCAGTATTCCAGACCAAGTGAAGGATGCATCTTCGTTTACTCGATTTCTTTACAAACTAGCACCTCTCACATCTTCATGAATTTTATTTTCAATCATTGAATCATTGGTCTCATGAAACTCCACATCATGAACCTCCTCCACTATGGCATGGGTCTTGTTCTATACTCTATAAGATTTGTTATTTGATGCATATCCAAACAAGAACCTTTCATCACACTTCCTATCAAATTTGCTCAGTCTTATGCCTTTCTTCAAAATATAGCGCCTGCAATCAACAAGACACGGGAGTATAAGATGTTTAGTTTCCTCCTGGTCAACAACTCATATGGGTCTTTTTCAAGAGTTGTTGACAATAAAGACTATTGCTAACATTAAGCTGTGTTGATTGCTTGGGGCCAAAACTATCACTCGCATTGTATTCACTTAGTATTGATCTAGCCATATCAATCAATGTCCTTTGGTACTAATCTTTATCTAGTGTTTGTGGGCTTGTAGAATTTTAATGAGCTATTCACCCCCTCTAGTTATCACCTAGATTGTACACCCGGGCAGTGCCAATAAACCTTAAGCAAGGCGGACATAGCTCTCCACCGTTTGGTCGGACGAGGAAGTGCAACTTGTTTGTCTTCATGGTGTCGTCAAATGAGAGGAGGAGGTGCCTCCTAGGGAGAATAAGATGAGTGCAGTACTGGTGACGTGGACTTTATGTCTATCTTATGATCCGATCTAACTAAAAAATAGCTCAAAGTATAAAAAATACAAGAAAAATCTAAGAAATAACCCCTATCCCAATAGTACGTTAGGTCAAGTTTTCGACTCAGCGTCCTGGCAGTGCCATTGTGCCAAGAAACCTTAAGCAAAGGCAGACATCGCCTCTCCACTGTGTGGTCGGAAGAGGAAGTGCAACTCGTCGTTTGCTTTCGTGGTGTCGTTGGATGATGACGATGAGGTGCATCCTATGGAGAATAAGAGGAGTGCAGTACCGTCGGTGACGTAAACTTTGTGTCTATCTCATGATCCGAACAAAGATTTCAATTTTTGTCAATTAAAAATATATCCAAACTTGTTCCGACCCATCGTTTGATAGAATAACGTTTTCGTTTGAACCATCTCCTGCTGTCCCCACGAGACCAGGACCAAACCAATCGAGGCCGTCGATTTCAGACGTTTGCCACGGATACTCCCCACCCCTCCCCCGTTTTATTCGCTTCCTTCCCAAATCCCATCTCACAAGCAGAAGAAATCCAGATATCGAGAGCTAGGGTTTTGATTCCAGACGCACGCCGCAACCTGTCCCCATCTCCATCTGCCCCCTCCCTCTGCGGCGGCACCGCCTCCACCACCTCCCTCTCTCTTCGCGGCATCTGGCGGAGGCTCGAGGAGACTGAGGCCGGGAGCGCCCCGAAGGATATTCTCCACCCAATCGCCGACACCCCTGCGCGCCGCGAGAGTAAGTCGCCTCCCCCGCCCCGTGCGCTCTCCGTGATGATATCTTTCCCGATCCGATCTGTTCGACGGCAGATCGTAGGGCTGGCGAGGGAGCCGATGGTGGGATTGAGGGGGGATTTAGGGTTGTAGAGTACAGGCTCGGTACTTGTTGTGGAATTCTTGGGTGCTTTGCGTATCCCTGATTGCGCTCTCGCCGTTGCGGGTTTCGCTGTAGACGCAGGAATTTCCAATGTTCGAAAATATGGGTTCTTCTGGAATCGAGAATAGGAGCTGTTTGGTTCGCTGGCGATGACATTTGTGTAATGTTTCCACTGTCATTACTGTAGGAACTTCGAGTGCTTTACAACTCCTAACAACTGTTGTCAAGTTTGATTTTCTCTTAAGCTCGCTACATAGGAACTCAATATTTTTTTATTAATGGTAAACTGGAACAAGCTGCATGGAAACTGAATTGTTTTCCCGTAATGATGCATCGTAATTGTATTAAGTTTAGATGGGCTTGTACCCTGATGTTTCATATATGAGCACTGAGCAGTTTGATCTTAAGTATAGTTCATTGTTGTTCTCAGTTTGTGAAATCTTCTGTAGAATTCGTGTAAGTTGTCCATTAGTTACTGTGAATCTATGTCAGACCGTCAGTAAACCCTTTTGCACAATCCGTTTGCCTTTTATTTTATCTATCCAGTTTCCTCATTGCTGATGCAATAGTTTTTCTTTCTATTATCAATATCAATGTGCGGTGAACAGGTTTGTGTTAGTAATTTAGTTTCTTTAGATTAGACTAAGTGTGTTTAAAGATACTCGCCAGATCCAACTTGTGTTACATGTTTGTGTGATTTCTTGAAGTGCACGGTTCAGAGCTGTCTATCTTCCCCTATGCATATCTAAAATTGCCATCTTTACTGCAGGTTGCCATTGTACTGTTGTAGCTTGCCAGTTGGTTGTTGACTGTGTAACAACTTTGAGCTATGTCATATTACGAAAGAAGGAGTGGAGATAGGGGTAGTGGCCGTATTCAAGGAAGTGGCGGGCGAGGTGGACATGTCCTGCGTGGAAGATCAGGATTGCCTCCCCGAGGACCTCTTGGGGTTAACTCCCATCCATCTGCACGCACTATTGCTAAGGCAAGACCAAATCTGTCACTATGTTTTTATTCATGGTCAGATTCATGAGTAAAGTAGAAACTGAATGAGGAGAGCATGTCTAAGCTCACATTATATGGAGGGGCAGTAGTAACTGTGATGTCTGTGACTAATGCATTCTCTGTCAGTATTGTTTGGAGGCTTGGAGGGGCAGATGCAACTTTGGTAGAAATTTTGTGATAGAGCATAAGGTTGCATTTATTGAGGGGCAGAAGTAAATGGTGCTCATCTCTAATGGGAATTTTGTTGGAACACCACCACCATTTCTTCAAATATATGGAAGGAAATAGATGAAAAAGAAAGCTTGTGGACTCCAGTTTGATGTGTCTAAATCATGATACGCTGAAGGGCAGACTCCATCAATCTTCTTGCCATATATGGAACTGCAATGTGCCCCTTATTCGACAGTTCTGGATTTGTTCCATACTCCCATGGAAGTTCTTCTAGGCTGATTCCATAGCAAGTGCTCTAGCCATTTTCTTCCTGGACTTTTTTGATATTGGTGGAGCTCTTTCCCTCTCAGTTAACTTAATGCAGTACTACATGGTTTTGCTATTTCTCGGTTATAATTATCGCTACTCTTCTCTAAAGATCAATGATAAGCCAAATGTGGTTTGAGATAGTTGGCATGATCATATGAAACAGTTCGAAGAGATATTCTTTTATATTGACATGTTTCCTCACATGCTGGATGTTTGGCATTTTTCAGTCATTTAGCAGAACCAAAGACATGACCTGGAGACCTGATCTATTTAGTGATAGCATGGCGGCTAGTGGAATACAAACTGGTACAAAATTGTACATTTCAAACTTGGACTATGGGGTTTCTAATGAGGATATAAAGGTATGTTCAAATAACTCAGCAGCGTGGTTTTCTCTCTTTTTTCCGCCTGTGACCGGAAGGTCCTGAGTTCGAGTCGCGGTCTCCTCGCATTGACAAAAGCGAGGTAAGGCTTCACATCGACACCTTCCCTGACTCTCGCACAGAGAGAGCTCTCAGACTGGCACGCCTTTTTATTGTTTGATACAGAACCATCAACCTGAAATTTTATTTTCACAATTGCCTTGTAGGAGCTGTTTTCGGAAGTTGGCCATTTGAAACGCTTTGCTGTTCACTATGATGGTTATGGCCGCCCAAATGTTCGTACCTTCTAGAAATCCATCTTTACTTCATGTATATATTTAATAGAGCCTTCAGTATGCTTTTAATTTTAATTTTGTTGGCATCATCTAGCTTGGTTATTTTATCTAGTTCTATTGAAAACAAACACATGCTTTTATGTTCGCTTGCTTATAATGGCAGTAAAATATTTACTGCATGACTCATCAGTAATTTTATATCTTTCTGATAGCTGTAGATGAATATGTTCACATGTTAATTGCCATTATTTTTATTTTGTGGTATAAGAGTTGTAGCTAGATGCCTAGAACAATTTGTATGTAACCTTTGTGATCATGAGGATTAGATAAGAAGAGTAGTACAATAGAATGTTTGGCTTATGGCTGACATATGGTTCTTGCCATACTGTAATGCATGCCTGGGTGCAAAGTACAGAAGGCCATCTTATTTTGGCTTCGAACCTATTAATATATTGGCAGCAGAATAAAGCTGAAGAAATTTAACTGGTGATTGTCGTGGTGTCTTTTGATGAAACACTGCAATACTGCATGGCTGTGTTACGTTTATATTACCTTCTCTGGCCACTATTACAGTTTTTTAGCTATGTTTATTTTCCTCAATTGTTATATTAATATGTGTGTTTTTAATTTGTATAAAGGGCACTGCAGAGGTGGTGTTTACACGGAGGAGCGATGCAGTTGCTGCACTGAAGCGTTATAATAATGTTCTACTTGATGGAAAAGCTATGAAGATAGAAGTCATCGGAAGTGACTTAGGCTTGCCTATGACACCTCGTATAAATGTTGTTGGGGCTTCTAATGGCAGAGCTACAAGAACAGTTGTTATGACGTAAGTGGTACTTCAACATTTCACATATCATGTATCTTTTCATTTTATCTGTAGTCCAATCATAAACTGTGTTGCTATACTTACAAAGTTCATTTTACCTTGAATAGTTCATTTAGGACAAGCAAATTAGTCCATTTAAGACAATCTTCTGTAAATTGTCATGCTGAATTTTCTTGTTAAGTTTTCAAGTACGAAAGACTTGCCCTAAAATCTTGGCTAGATTACCATAACAAACATTAAGTGTGTTCCTTTGTCACTAGTTTAACCATAAGTTATGAAAAAGGCCTTGTTGCTGGCAGAGAATACTGCTTTACAGCAAGCTAGTATTCTACCAGCCCTAACAAGTTTCTCAGATATCTGCATTTTTTTATATGTGCATTTTAACTTGTCATTATTTCCCCTACATATATTATAAAAAGATTCAGGTGTTATGTGATGCAGTATGATCATGCTATAGTTAATTGGGAATGTGAATTTCTGAACTGTTATATATATATATTTTTTCATTTATCTTTAGCAGTTTGACATCACAGCTTGAATGCACAATATGTGGCTTCAATGTGAACTTGAATTCAACCACCATGTTATTTCTTTTTTTATCCCCTTCCTTCGTAGGGTGGTACACCTGACTCATTATTTTTATAATTCAGGCCTGAGTTCAGTCAACGTGGCAGAGGTTCAAGCAGTAGACCTCTAAGGTAAGGCTTATGTCATCAGACCCAACTTTTGAAATTTTGTAATTTGTTGCATTTAATAATACTAGATAAATGTGGTCTCTTTTATTTGCTTGGCTTAGTCCATCTCATGCCTTATTACTTGTAGTTTACTATGCCATCATATTTTCAGTGTAGCAATAGCTTGATGTTTATTGTTAGCTTTAGATGTTTGGCACCTGGGCACTCTTTTATAAACAAACAGGTGTGCTGGTTGCAACTTGCAAGTCGCTAATTAAACAGTGAGCAATTCCTTGCTTCTCATGCAAAGAAAACATGTTTTTGCGAGGTCAATTTTTTGCATATTGAGTTGTGGACTTGGACATTTGACTAAAAAGAGAGCGAGGAAAGAAGGGTACTTTAGTTATTAACTTGTTTTTATGGCTGCACATCCCTCTTGAGTTGATGCACCCTAAACACTGAAAAATATGTTTTTTAAAATAAAGAGTACAAAAAAGTCGTTTGATCTTGTACCCATGACCTTTACATATTGCTGTTCCAGTAATCCCAGCAGCAGGTTTAACAATCGTGGTGGTTTCCAAGCTGGTCGAGGCCGTGGCCAGTTTCAGGCCCGTGGCAGGGGCCGTGGCCAGTTCCAGAGCCGGGGCAGGGGCCGTGGTCCATTCCAGGGCCGTGGCAGAGGGAGGAAGCCTGAGAAGACTGCAGATGATCTGGATAAAGACCTGGAAAGCTATCACGCGGAGGCCATGAAAACCGATTGATTGCAAGATGGTAGATGACGTCTGCTGCAAGATTGTGGTTTCATCCGTCATTTTCTGGGAGCAAGGAACATGCTTTGTGCTTTGGTTTCAGGAAAACTAGACCCCTGTAGTAAACTCGAACAAAAGATTGCCAGTGTGTAGTGTTTGCATGAAATTTGCAACCTGATGTGTTTATTTTGTATCGGTTGCTTTGGAGATGGTGTTAATTGTTAGGTTCATGCTTAGAATAATCGTCATTGGCCAAAATCTGCACCCTGCCTATTTCGCTCTGCGATGTGCCTTCACCGCATTGTGTTATTTTTGTCATATATTGTAGTTTCTCGGCGTTGTCTAGGCTGATGTTGACGCCCTGAGGTTAGTTCGATGCATCTTTAGGCAACACCATGGGGGATTTACTATAATAACGGACTAATGGCGACTTGGCGACACGTCTATTCTCAATTTTCCCTACTTGTCAATAATGATTAATCCCCCAAAATAGTCCAGATTGCGCTTTGGACGTATGCTTTTTATGCATCTCGTTGATCGAGCCTAACTGTGTTTACAGCGCACACCTGAGAACACAGACTACTATCTCCATCACAGTCACAGCCTAACTCCTAATGGGTCTGTTTAGAAGACATGGATCATATCAAATCTTTTAACATACATGGAGTATTAAATGAAGAAAAACCATAATTAATTACACAGTTTGATTGTAAATTACGTTGATTTTTTTTTCGAGCCTAGTTAGAGAGAGGGCATGGGCAGGCAGGGCAAAAATCAGTCCCTCAACCGAGATTGCCATGATGCCCAGAGCGGCGAAGGGGCGACGGCGAGGCCTGCCGCGCCACAAGCTCGCGGAAGCCGGTGAGCGACCTCATCTCCAGCAGCTGGAGCCTCAGGAGGAGCTCCCTTGCCGTCTCGTCCTCCTGCTTGATCTTCCTCACCTGGCTGTGGACCGGCATCTCCAGTTGATCTTGCTCTACGTTGACCTTGAGCACACCCCTTGGTCCTTCCCCTTCCTCCGTCTCAAACATCTTTCACCCACACCTTTGGCTTTGCTACCTCCTTCCAAGCCCCTGGGGTCACATGCTCGCAGCATTGTAATATATATATATATATATATATATATATATATATATATATATATATATATATATATATACACACACATATATACACGCCACGACGGGCAAGGGTTAGATAGAATATAATGCCAAGGGGATAGATAAGGTGAGAAGTAGAGAGGCTCTTTGTGGGGATATGACTTTTTTTTTTTGTAGAGATTAGTTGGCGGGTGAGAAATCTGAAATAATGGTTATGAATTGCTGGACAGAGGCTCTTTTCAACTCTTGGGAAAGAAACATTGTCGTCAACAGTTGTTCAATTTATTGGGTTGGGTCCAATGCATGGCGTCTTGCTGAATCAAGAAAAGATTACTAGAGGGTGTAGTTGTGTATGAGAGGATCAGCTCGATCGATCATTGTTTTATCGGGATTGCCTACAATTAAAAAGAATCATAAAATGTGGTAATGATCTCTTAGGGCCTGTTTAAATTCATTCTAATAATTACAATTTAGACATAGATTAATTAAGCTAATATAGTTGTATATGAAATATATTTGTATATTTATTGCTAGACATACGAGGGACATAGTTATATGTTGGATTTCTATTGTAAGAAAGTGAGTTGAAGAGTGTGATATAAGTTAGAGAGTATAATTATAGCATAGTGATCTATAGAATTCATTTCCATCTCCCACCCTATAAATTTGAGATAAGCTTATTTGTGTGGAATGTCAAATTCCAAGCCAAATAGCCTAATCCATTAAGTAGATTTCAATTCCCCAAAATAAAGGGATCCAAATGGTCTCTTATCGAAGTCATGCAAGTCTTTTTTTTATTAAGAAATTATTAAAAACAGTAGTCATATTGAAGAAAAAAAATTGTTGACATATACCCTTTCCCCGTAGGATATGCATGCCTTGAAAAATAATCAAAGGAATGGATCATTAGTTTTTAATTGCATTTTGAGAATCACTTCCTGAAGGACAAAAGAGACATTCTTTTGCTGCCATGTAAAATAGCATCGTGTCTCGACAAATATTCCATGTGCTTCTTTTGTTCTATTTTGCTGAAAATAATTTATAAACGCAAAAGAATATAGGTCAATAGGTGCTATATAGTATTCCCTCCATCCACAAAAGTATGTAAATATAGTATTTGTGTTGGTCAAACTAAATCAATTTTTTGTAAAAAAAAAAACTAAATCAATTTTGATCAAATTTATAGTAAATAATATTCTCTCTATTCCAAGACTTTTTGAGGTACATAACTTTTACGCACCTAAATATACGTTATGTATTGTATCTAAAAAAGTCAAAACGACTTATAATTTAGAACAGAGAGAGTATTAATATTTATATCTCCTAGGTTTACTACTAAAAATTTATCTTATAATTAATTTAATAATACTTATTCCGTATAAAAAAAATGTTACTAATTTTATATAAATTTGATTGAACGTTAAATTGTTTGACTTCTCAAAAATTAAAACTATATATCTTTATGGACGCAGAGAGAGTATAATGTTCAGATAATCAGATCAAGTACAGACGAGTCCCTTCGTGACCTATCATCACAAAACCCGTACATCACGTGACTGGAGGTGGGACCAATGAATGGTACCTGCGAAAAAATAGTGCAAGGCAGGACAGAAAAATAGAAGATCGGCTGGAGCGTCCTGAGAATCTGGCTTAAGGGACCATACTTTTTTAAGGAATAAAAGGGCTTAAATGTGAGTAGTTCGACATGGAGATCTTGATCCTGCGATTCCCAAATTTGTTTGGCTGTATCATTTCAGTCCCTAAACTCATAAATCAATTATTTATGTTCTTAAATTTGTTCATCTGTGTTATCTCGATCCCTAAATTCTCAAATCGCTCGTTTAAGTCTTCAAACTTGTTCGACTTTATCAAATCATCCGTTTAGGTCATCAAACTTGTTCAGTTGTGTCATCCCGGTCCCCTAATGTTGTAAATACTATAAACTTATAAATTTAATATATATTTATAGAATTGTCCAAAAATTATAAATCTAATTTAGTTAGACTTCAGGTAACATGTACATTAAATTAGAATAAAAGAAATCATCATTTACTTTCTTTTAACTCGTAGTTAAATGACTAAATAAGCACATATATTTTTATAAATCCTAAAAATGTATGTGCCTATTTAGTTGAACCGTAGAGTTAAAAATAGAAAGTATATGATGATTTATTTTATTCTAATTTAAAGTACATGTTATCATGAGTCTAACCAAATTAGATTTACAATTTTAGATAGCTCTATAAATATATATTGAATTTTTAAGTTTACGGTATTTAGGAACCGGATGACATAATTAAACAAAGTTTGAGGATATGAACGGATGATTTACAAGTATAGGGACCTAGACGATACAGCCAAACAAGTTTGAAGACCTAAACGAGCAATTTGAGAGTTTAGAGACTATGATGATATAGATAAACAAATTTGAAAACTTGAACAATTGATCTGTGAGTTTATGGACCGGAATAACACAGCCTAACAAGTTCAAAGAACCGCCAGTATACTTTACTCTTCGGTGTATATACTAACTTCCTTATGCCCTATGGATTCACTGCTCTCCGGTTCATTCTGCGCGATTTCGTCTTAGAGCAAGTATACTAATCGACTGCAAGCCGGCGGAGAGGGAGTCCACGTCATCAGAAAACAGCCACGTTAGGAGAGAGATTACGGAGCGGGCGCTATTCTCTTCGTCCGGCTGTAGCGTAGCTTACGAGAAAAAAACACCGTCTTCCAGCCCGATGCGAGCGAGAAGCCGGCGCTTCATTTTTCCCGTCTCTCTCCTTCCCGATCCCGTGCTCCGCTTCCCCTTCCCTAGCTCCAAATCGACCATGCTCTTCCCGCCAAATCGATTCCTCGCGGCCAAATCGAAGGATGATTTAAGCCCCAAATCTTCCCCAATCGCCACCTCTCCCAAGCCCTAGCCACCATACCCAGCAACCATCACTTGGGTGAGATGAGTCGGAAGTCCAAGAGAACATCTGCGCCAACACCCATGGAGATTCCGCCGTCGGTGGCTCAGTCTGGTCAGCCCAAGAGAACATCTATCCTCAATTTCCACTACATTAACTCTATGTGCACAGGAAAACTATCTCTCCAAGGATATCACTTTGCAGATGGTATGTTAACCCTGAGATTCCTGAAGCTATTGCTCTGCATGATAGGTAAAGGACACCCGAAAACAATTTTCCCTTCCAAGCAGCCCTATTTTACCCACCTAATCTCAGTCAATCTATACACAGTTGTGCTGGACAAACCGAAGCACCAAAATGGCATGGGCCTACTCCAAGCTAGGTCACGCTAGAGAAGACATCTATTGTAGAGCTTTCTACATTCACAAATCCACACACTATATATGTACAACACTACTAGAATCTCGCTTTTTTCCATGTGCGAAAATACACAGAAAAATACGAATACCGTCAGAAAAATATTTTTCTGACGGTGTACCATCGGAAAAATACACACAGAAATATAATGATAGAAAAATCGGGTTCACCGTCAGAAACAATTTTTCTGTGGGTCTCACATGCACAGAAAAATTGTGTTCACCCAGATTAAAACTAATTTTCCTGTGTATTAATCCACACAGAAAAAAGAAATAAACGCACAGAAAAACACATGTTTTTTTTTTCTGTCGGTCTAGGTGAACTCAGAAAAATTCATTTCGCCCAGATTAAAAAAAATTCTATGTAGCTAGCCTCACAGGAAAAAAGAGTTAAACACACAAAAAAATTATTTTAAAACAGTAGCAACAACATATTAAAAAATATATTTTCCATATATGAATTTCTGTGCATGACCAACAAGGTTTCATTCAAATAATACACAAATCGGTAGTTCATCATGAATGGAGTCAATACTTATGTCAAAAATAGAATCAGTCTGATCTATCAGCACATATATCATATATACAGATATGATATATGGTCATCTACATGTTCAACATGAATACTACAATAAATTCACAAATATGGATATCGAAAAAGAAACCAAACTATTTTTTCTTGTTCAACCAATTATAAACCGCTTCACCTTGCACTCCATCTCTACCTGTAAGAACAGTCAACATGAATACTACAATGATTACACAGAAAAGTAGTCATTTCTGTTTCCTAAAGTATCCAGAAAATGGGAATACAGTATGTACCAGCAAAGGGGAGACGAAATCATTGAACTTGTATGTAACTTCCAAAGGCTTTAACTTTTCTATATAAAGTTTTTTTAAGCCATCAATGACAGAAGTAACAGCAGTCAGAGGTATCTGTTTACATATAACACCATAAAAGAAAAGATCAGCAATAATGATAAATGTGTCATTGACAAAACTAGGGTCAACTGACAACATTTCTTTATATAGGGAAAGGTCTTAAAATTGGCACAAAAATATCTCTGTTGCTTAATAATGCATAATAGAAACATAAGTACTGAGAGCTATGTTGTCTTACAAACATTTTGGACTGTGGGCTTCCTTTTAGACAACTTACGTGCATCATATTGTTTCGAAGCTCGTTAACAGACAAGATACAATTAAAATAAATAGTGAACCAGCTACAGAAGCTTACACAAGCTAAACAAGTAAAAACAAGTAAACTTGCTGCCTTTTTCTTTTGCTAACGTAAAAAGACAGATAACTGATCTATCAACATATGCTCACTAACGAGGATATAACAAAATTTTTCTCAAAAGTTCCTTTGGTGCTGATATGCAATAGATACTCACAAGAGCGATATTCTAGGAGCATACAGAAGAAAATAGTGAAGATGACATGACTACATGAGTATTACCTTCTTTGATGACTTTGAGCTGAACCATTTGTTTGTTAATTGGGATTGTTCCTAAGGGTATCCTGCATGGATAAAAAAAGGTTTGTATCATAGATTTCCCCCAAGCATGAACTTCCGTTAAAGAGTGCATTACTTGCCATCCAT